TTTAAACTGATGGTTTAAATACAATTTAAACTATTTTGGGAGCAGTGTGATATGAAAAAATAGCAAATGTTATTAAATAAAATGTAATTATGTATATATTTCTTGACTGTTACGACTAATTAGTTGATTAGTTAAACTTGGTCACCACTTTTCAAACAGGAAATTAATTTTATGGTTTCATTGTTGATGTTGTACAGCTTTGTCAATTATTTTGCAATCTATAGCTTCTTACCCAGATTTTTTACAGCTTCTTACAAATTGTTTGAAACCTTTAGAATATTATAATTATGTTAGAATAACTTTGTTTATCTGCAACCAAATAGATTTATCATTCAAAATAATGACTCTAAACTTTCAAACCGTAATGTATACACTGAACCGACATTTCAAAAGTATGCTGAATATCATCATAAACTCAATAAATGAGAAGTATTTTTTCTTCTAGGGAGAAAAAAAGTTTTTATTTTAATTAATTAACAAAAACAAAAAAAGACAAACATAAAAAATGCTTCTTGGACACAAGTAGGTCTGTGCTTTGTGTTCAAAGTCCATTGATGGGCCAACTGAGACAACGTTTTCTGAAGAGTCCAAACGAAGGACAGCATTCAGCTCTTCTATGTGTAGTCATGTACGTAGTTATATAAACACTGACATTGTACACAGTCAGCTCCAAGGCATATTAACTGGCAAACTGGAAAACAGAACTTATTTTTATTGACATGTCTGTTTGATCTGGGGACTTGTGCCCATATGAATGTATCAAGTGCCTCAAAGCAGAAAAGGGGATGCAGGATCAACTCCATTCTAAGCATGTAACATTCATTAAAAAGTAAAAAGCAGTTTCTTGAAAAGCACTGTGATAGAAAGGGCACCAAGTTGCTTTCACACCTTTGGTGTGTTGGAGCTACTTGGATTGTGTGTACATCCTGTGATCTACATTATCCTACACAAAGCATTTCTAGGAAATTAAGGTTTACATCTTTACTACTCAAAATGTACCAATTACTTGAACTTTGGTGAGTCCATTCTAGAATTCTGAAAATATGCCAAATCAGCCATGGTGTACGGTCTTGTTAGGTGTAATCTGAGAGATATTTGATTTCACAACTAAATATACTAAATTCACTTGAAAAATTGTGGTTGTTCACAATATTCAGGCTCTCTTAAACTCAAATGCCATAAGCACAATTTTATACCAGCTAACAGTTAAAGGTACTAAGACACAAGCACTCCAGCGCCACTTTTAGACCCGCCTCCTTCACTTTCTTTGGCTTGACTGGTGTTTCCTTTGCCCTGTTTGTCGTCTTCGCTAACCAGTCGGATGTTGTAGCGTTCCCGGTATTCTGTCAGTTCCCGTCCTTTTGCCTGCATTTGTGTGTTGAGCGACTCGACGATCTTTGATATCTGACAGAAAATGGGGTGAAAGAAAATATATGGTTTAACACTCAGAACCCAAAGCCAGAGGGCTGTTTGCACAGCTATACTTATGATATTATAACTGAGGAACGGTTTCAGACATGGTATACAACAATCAGCAAGACTCTAAATATAGTGAATTCCACTCTTTATCTTGATATTATATTGTTGTTTTTAGGCTTCATAACATTGGAACCGTTTAATTTACAGACACAGCACACATATCATAACAGTCGGCAAGACTTACCATTTCTAACTATTTTGGTTTCAAATTGTGTAAAACCAATAGAATATTAGACAATTAAAATATGTTACTAGAATAATGTTACGTAAGATTATGCATTTATATGTAACTAAATTGGTTTCCTGTTTTTAAGAACAATGATTTCAAACTTAAACAGCTCAGAGCAAAATTGAAAAGATAAATAATAAACTAATGATAAATAATCTTAGTTTCAGTTGACATGCTAAAATATCAAAAATAAAGGAGACACCAATTAAATGTATTATCAGAAAATAGAGAAGTATGTGGAGATATCAGAATTCTGTTAGCATTTTCATATGACATGGTGACATGCCTAGAGTTTCCTTTAAAATAACAACATATGGCACGTGTGACCATCCTATATAAATACTTTGTACTTTGTAATCATCCAAAACACTAAAAAAATTACATGAAATTAGTGTAGTGTTCATATTACTAACAACCAAACACAACATAACAACAATGCAATTAGACAGGCCGCCTGTCCACCATAAAATGTACCTGTTCTTTGTTGTTTTCCAACGCAGGCAGGACTTCTTTAACTGTCCTCTCCACAAGCACACCACCGACTAAGCGATAGCACTTCCGTGAGGGATCTACTTCTTTCAGTGTGTCAATGACCAGGCTAAAGAAGGAGACGCAAATTACTGATCACATGCATATACATATTTTTGCAGTCACTAAAGCTAGCACAGTGAACTAAACTAGCAGAATAAGCTTGATTGTACTGTACACTTGTATAAGTATGATTAACTGAACTGAATTGAAAACCTGTGTTCATTGATCTCCATCTCCAGCTCAGCAGCCTTTGAGGCCATACTGCGCTGCTCCTGCCGCATCCTCTGGAACGTGGCCACCACCTGTCAGAGAAACACACACAAGGGTGATTCTTAAACAACCGCACTGAAATCAATGGTTCAAAGTCTGAATTATCTATTCTCAGATTAACAGAGTTTTAACAACAGCATTTTCTACCAGCCAACCTATATTTCTAATAGGGATGTGATGATGCACATATTTTATGGTTTGATACAATTTCTGATTCCGAAGTCAAGATTAGACTTGATAACAAAATGAGCCCCCTGAAAAAAATTTACCCCAAGAATTTAAATTAAATTAAATTCAGGTGAAAAAACACAAAAAACATTTATTTGAGCATGAGTGCATGCAGAGCACAAGCCCCACCCCCTTCCAACCAGCACTACTTTGGTGGGACGCGCCCAAGACATGTAGCTTTGATCACTGACAGTGGTTTCCATTGTAGATGAGAGACCCTCGCAAAAGACAGCTTTAAATTTCAACATACTGTTATGAGGATTTATTTGATTTTTTGGTACTGTATTTAAATCATTAGGCCTTGAACTTCTAGGATCTGCCGATAATGCAATACTGATACTTATTGTTATTTGTCCAATTATAATCATTGAACAGTTGTATACATATTCATGCGCTATTAGGTCACAATCATTACATTTTAGCTGATCATTTACTGCCATATAAAAAATGTAAAAATAAAAGAGATCAGCTCAAATAATAACAACCAGGCCTATAGTATCAGCAATTCCATGATACCAGAAAATAGTCTGTGCACCAGTGATCTGCACCACTACCAGCATGATATACAGTCGTATGCTAATGTTGTTTGGGTGCCTCTGTCAATTTACGATTCGTTGATAATCTGAGTGAAAATAAGTACGCATCCTGTAAAAACACAGTTCTCCACATTTTAATGCACAATTACTGTTATTTGCTTAATTTAAAATATCAGAAAAATAGAAATAAATAAAGAAAACAAACAGAAATTTGGCACTAAAATCTGCAGAAATGGCGTAGTTAAGTTTGATGCCTGTAGTTTGTTAACTTATTTTCACTTAGAACATCCACCATATGTATTGTAACATGGGGTATTCAAACTTTTGCACATGGCTGTATTTTTATTTAACAGAACTCTGTAGAATATGCTGTGACCGAAATGAGTTCAGTAGGAACATTTGGTAAGGCAGGGACAGACTCCCACAGTCTCTGTACAACAAGTACAACAAGAAAAAGAGCTTAAAGAATTGCCTCTGATCCCTCCCACCCTGCACACCTCTTATTTCAACCGCTTCTCTCTGGCAGAGGACACAAATTCTTGATCGCCAAAACGTCACTAGTGGTGGACAATATGACATTATTATTATAATAGTAAAATTTTGTTATCGTGATATGCTTGTGGGAGCATATTGTGGATACTGTCAGCATTTAAAGAACACTGGCCAACAGCATGACTTATTATAAATATATATATTGTGATGTACTGTGTGTTTCATCAAGAAGTCTTTGAATATTGTGATATGATGCATACAATGATTGCTGTGAGCCGAGCTGCTATGCTTAGTATGTAACTAGACATCTGTACAATCAAGATACATTAAACACATAAAATATCGGGGAAAATTATTGTTATACCAAATAAAGACAGCATTAGAATGTGTAATGGAACATACACCATACATACACACTGTTGTATCGCACTGGCTGGCAGGAATAGCACCTCCTTCATGCAGACACAGCTCATTCCTTACTGGGACTTCGAGCTGGCTTCACATTCGCCGGCTTCCGTTCCACCTTAAATGGGGCAAGTTTCATTCTGGAGCCTTCAGGCGTCTGACTGTAACTGCTGCACCATTTAAGGTGGAACGGAAAATTCGAACAATACGCCAGTTTCAGCCTCGTTCACAGAAACTGGAAATGAAGCTTCTGGACTGAACTGAGCTAAGCCTGACTGTTATTAGACTAAACCCCTCAGGAACATCTTGCTCGAGGACTCGATTTGCTCGTAGACTCTCCTAAAGGCTTTCTGTGCTGCACACGCCTTCCTCCGCCCGTTAGCATGCCGTTAGCTTATTGTGCTCTGCAGTCATATAACGCCTCATACGGACGGTCTGGTCGCTTGAGTCGCCTGACTGTGAGCTCCCTGTGTGTGAGGGGCTGTTTTACAGACAGATACCTGCTCTGGAGAGGGAGTAGACTGCTTTCCTCCTCCACTCTTTCCGCCGCTGCTGTTCGCTGCCATGTTGAAATGAATCGCCGAAGCTGGAAGGACCCCCACAAGACACACCAGGCTGTCCATCAACAATGCCTGCACATGTGGAGAAACATGGATTCTGCTTGCGCGAAGCTCGTCTGTTTGTGACCTAAATACTGATTTTTACTGTATTATTTAAACGGGTAAAGGTTGTTTGTAACGGGAATGCTCATAATATTTAGAGTCAGGTCGTGACAAGATGTTGCCCTTCGAGGTCAAAGTCAGACTTTTGTACATATGTCAGTAAGACAGGGTTAACATTTAATCTTTGGGTTCTTCATGGAGTAAATTAATCTCAAAGATCATCTCAACTCGTTTCTGGAAGCTTCTGTTCACTCCGGGGCCGATGCTCCTGTGTGGTAGTACGCTGAGGCAGACTCTGCTGCTGTTTCCGAAGGGTCATCTGTTGTGGAGATCTCAGACTGGCAGGGGTCAGCTCAGGTAAGACAGTCTCTACACTGTTATTTTAAAATGACAAAAGGCAGAAAATGATGAAACGATGGACAGAAGCCGTTGTTTGTTACGTGTCCTGCTGTAGTTATGACTTCAGCTTTATACCTGATATTCTTGGTGGGTGTTTTTAAGGTTTTGTCAGTTTTAAATTTCGCTGTGCCAATTCACAGCAAATTGTGTACAAAACAACCGAATGTATTGTCCATTGAATACCCATCATTGTCCAATAGGGGGCGGCCATGAGCTACGAGTGCGGGGTTGATCTAAAAAGTAACGTCTTGATGTTAAAGGACCACTCCGACCAAAATGAAAAAAATTACCATTGCTGCGTATGTTGTAAACATGTCTGATCGCATCCTGCACAGGTGCCACAATGTTCTCTATAGTGAGATATTAGAGTTTAAAGATGTGGAAAACCTTCTGATGACGTGATCATGTAGGTGGCAGTAACCTTTGCAAAACTACAACCGCTTTGGGGGCGGATACCTGAAGGTGGGCTGTTTGAATGTTAAGCCAACGTTTCTGTTAAGACGCTGTACTTTACTAATGATGTGAAGTTGACTCCAAGAGTCGGTTTTTTGGTTCTGACATGTCTAGGGGTCGGCCTGAGAGACATTTTGCATGTGTAATGTGGGAAAAAGTTTGAGCAGCCTTAGTCTGTGTGGTTACATGACTTTGGATAGCTGCAGCGTAACAGCCAAACTATTAGACTGTGACGTAAAGCATGTTGAGTATTGCAGTGAGAGAACACTGACAAATGAAAACACAAAAAGAAGATAAAATGTGAAATTCTGTTCATTTGAGATGCACTACAGAATACTGCATAAAATGACAAATGACATGAAGTGCTAGTATTATGCCTAAATGCCCTTTTAAAGATGCATTATGTTTTTTTTTGTTTGTTTGTTTTAACAACCTGGAAAAAGTAGGATTATTGAGCCAGAAGAGGAAAAAACACTAAAATATGATGTGCATGCACTGCTGTGGGTCACTCTGTAAAGCCTGAGATAGTCACTTAAAAGTAAGTTGGGTCAGATTTTGTGGGAGTTATTCGGACCACGGCGTACATCTTCACGTATTAACGTCACACGCACAGACTCAAAAAGAAGACCCGGCTTGATGTTCAACATTGAAAATATCATGACAACAGTAGATAATTCACTTACATCCTTGGAAGACATGTCCTTTAACAAGGTTAGACTGAGTTGTCTTTGAATAATCTTATAACACACTTAAAATCATCAGTTTCATCCTCGTGGAGAAATGAAATCACAAAATGTTCTTCCACACGTAGTGTGCAATTACACGTTTCCACCAGAAAGGAATCCAAATCCCAAAACTCAAATAGCGTATTTACACTCATTCTGCTTTTCTGCACAAACAAAAATGCTTTTTCAGGATGGCCTCATCACATCCTCTGGCAGCGGTTTGTCAGATGACCTCAACCCCAGACAAAGAGGCAAATTTCAGCACATGCAAGCGTTTGGTCGAGCAGGCCAAAGATGGTGGGGCAAGCATGGTCTTCCTACCTGAGGGTTTCGATTACATTGGCTCAAATCGAGAAGAGACACTACAGTTGTCTGAAAGTCTACAGGGTGACATCATCACCAGACATACACAGCTAGCCAAGTAGGTGCACTAAAAATCCTTTCCTTTAAGACCTTTATTACTTTAATGTGAAGAGCTCATGTGATGGCAGTAAAATAGAGAGTTTGATAACCTGCCTGAATGTTGTTAAAACACATTGTTCACTCCTCAGTTCATACTGTGTATGTAAACTAACCTGCAAAAACAGCCTGAATTGAATTCATTGTGCTTGTGACATCACAACAGTGACATTAAGTTTCATTATGTTTCAGGCTGGACTGCTTTTAGAATGAGAGCACAGTGTAGCCAATCAAATCTGAGGTCATTTGCATATATCAGTCTTAAAGGCACTGTGACAAAAACCACTTTAACTCTATAGGTGGACCTTATGGGGAAAAATAAAACACAAGCAAAATGTAGAAAATGGATCCTTTAAATGGGTGAAGTAAAAAAAAATGAGCTGAAGGTGTGCGGTAGAAGGAGCTACAAGATTTACTGCCTGTACGAACAGCCTCTGTTTCTCTAAGGAAGCTGAATGTCTGGCTTTCTCTGGGAGGTTTTCATGAAAGAGGGCATGACTGGGAGAACGACAGACGAATCTACAACAGCCATGTCATCATTAATGGACGAGGTACCACATTCACTTTACATTCCTTTAGTAGGAGAGCAACCTTGTCTCCTGCAGCCGTCTGTTAAACCGATGTTATAGTCCAAATGCATGATGAAACCTTTTAAGCTGTTAATTTAAGCAAACATGAACATAGTGCTACCTATACTAGTATTTGAGTTATATTTTTAAAAACCAGAAGTTTTTGGGAGTTGGGAAACTGTAGCAGACCATATTCAATGGCCCTTTTACACTTGGCCTTAACACCTGATCACTGTGATCTGATCGAATCACCATCCAATCATGTAAGTAACACTGTGCTCTAAACCAAATCGGCAAGTCTGTGTGACCTTAATGAAGAGCTGCATGTTGTTTGAGAGGGCCATTTAAACCCTACAAAGTAGTGTACATAGTACAAAGACAACAAATCAAACATTGAAACTGAGAAATTTAATTGTTCATCAAAAAAGAAAAAAAAATCAAAAAAGAATTGTTCAACAATTGATATCAAAATGAAAATATCGGTAGAGGTATCAGTTTAGAAAGAGTTTGAACAATACCCAGCCCAAAGGCAGCTCCGCTAAACTATGTAGGGCAGAGGTAGTGCTGGTTACTTTATGGTTAATGTTTACAATACTGTGTAAACTTTGATGTTATTTTAAGAGAAGCAGAATAAAAGAAAACAGTCTGGTCAAAATAAGCAGTGCCAGGTTTGTAAGATGTCCGTACTGTGGAAGCATTAAAAGTAAACTTAACTTTATAAAAGTTTAACTTTGTTAAAGTAAACTTAAATATCATCTCCTGCCAAGATACTGCAATAAATTTGAAAAATATAGTGAATGTTATTGATACCAGCCAGACAAAGAGACTTCAGGACCTGGTATTTAGAGCAACATTTCTTATCTCATGGCACTAACTGCACTGTCAGTCATTTTATGAACTTATTTGTGTCTTATCTCCAGGTGAGGTTGTCTCAGTGTACAGGAAAGGTCACCTGTTTGATGTAGAGTTGACGGGGAAAGGCGTGTCTCTAAAAGAGAGTGCTTTCACCATTCCTGGACCAAGTTTGGTGCCCCCTGTTCAAACACCCTGTTGGAAAGGTATGGCAGCTGGGTGCTACAGTGTTGTGTTTTTAAAAGTAGTCTTGAAAAACATGCTGACTAGCCTTATTACTATGTGTTCAATGTTTGTATAGGTAGGACTGGGTATCTGTTATGACCTGCGCTTTCCTGAGCTGTCATTGGCTCTCCAGAGACAGGGGGCAGAGATCCTGACATATCCATCAGCATTTACTGTGGCAACAGGAGCTGCCCACTGGGAGGTGAGTCACAGGCGGAAGTGGGTCTAGACTGCGCTTGTTATAAAAAATGCCTAATTCATGTTAATGGTGTGACCATTGTTTCCATCATGTACTGTACATAATGTAACCAAGTTTTCACTGGACTGACTGACTGTTTGCTAGAGTTGGGTGTGTTTATTTAAATACACAGATATCAAAACTCATGTTCCTTTGCTTAATTAGGTAGAAAAAATAATGATAATAACTATTATTTATGTAGCACATTTCATACAATACAAATTCAGCTCAAAGTGCATTACAAGAAGAAAGACAAAATAAAAAACAGCATTAGAGAAGAACAGCAATCAGAGACAAACGCATTGAAAAAAATTCTAAACATAATAATAAAACTAACAATGGAAATATCTAAAAAAGATAAAGATAAAAGATTTTGAAATTGCTGACTGAGGATGCTTCCCTTGTATCTTGTGTGATTCAGATTCAAGGTATTAGAATAAGACGTGTATAGTCTGGAATAATTGTTGGTTATCTTTCATGTAATTTTTTTAACTTTTTGGCTAAGGAACAAAGGACCACAGATGATGTTGGGACACAAGGTGCTATTGTATCTCAATTTAAACAAAAAGGTCATAAATCTGTGCTGTGTAAAGTTGGATGTACACAACATGACTTTTTAGTTACTAACAGACTTCGAAAACATACATTCCTTGTTGTGGGGGCGCGCATATTAGGTGATAAGACAAAAAGTTTTAGCCACAAAAAAACACTCAAAACCCTTAAATCTCTCCCCTTCACACTCAATACGCAAATCTTCCCCCTTTGTTGTGTAAGACAAACAACACTAACCTAAGCTATGTTAGTTATTCATCTGTATTGTCAGCTGGAAGTGTGTTAAAGGGGAACTTTATTTCTGAATAATTCGGTCTTTGAGATGTAAATAGAGTCATTCACTCTGGTTTGACGTGAAATAGTTAATTGAAGAGAAACTAACCAACTTAGATTTCTTTACAGTGGTGGTGATAGGAACCAGGGGTCACAATGTCTACAACACAAATATAGCCATTTTAATTATCATCCAAAAGCACCAGTGAACGCAAAAATGTCTTTTAAAGTTTTATATGTAATGTTGAAGGTGATAAAATAGTCAGAACAATGTCTCAGACATCAGGCAGTGTATTCATAACCATTTCATGTATTAACTTTCTCTGAGGGAGCTTTTAGAGACATTAAACAACAGATGTCTGGTTCCTATCACCATCACTGTGGACAATTGAGTTTTTCTAGAATGGAGGATTTCACATCAAACTGATCTGAATGAATTTCTTTACATCTTAACGATTGAATTATGAAGAAATTTTGAAATTTTTCTAATTTTGAAAATGCCCAGTCCTACTGCCCAAATGATCTGTGGTCACAGTCTGCCCTCATTGGTCCTGTAAACTCAGAATGTAGCCATTTAAGTCCTATCCCATTTCAGAGCCCTGCACTCTTCCAGTTACACAAACTACAGTTTTATAACCTTAGATCATCTTAAACTGATTTGCTAATGTGGAATTCACAAGCAATGTAATAAGTGTGAAACAGCATCTGTTTGTTCATATTGGCTCTAGGTATTCAGGAAGTGGGCCTGACTATTTCTGTTCTCTATTAGGATGATAAATCACATTATTCTGTCTTTCTTTCAGGTGCTCTTGCGAGCCAGAGCCATCGAAACCCAGTGTTTTGTTCTGGCTGCTGCCCAAGTAGGAGCTCACCATGCGAAAAGATCATCATACGGACATGCACTAGCTGTGGATCCGTGGGGCGTGGTCATGGGGGACTGTGGGGGGGCAGATGTGGGTGTGACTATGGTGGAGATTGACTTGCAGAGACTACAGGACATCAGAAGGGACATGCCAGTCCAACAGCACAGGAGGGAGAGAGAGTACTACTCTTTTCTGGACTAAAATGCTTATCTGTCTTAAGTGAAGGATGTCAGTAACTGGTAGAAATGGCAGTGTCAGGACTGTAGCATACTCTGAGGACCAGATTTGAACTGGAATATGTTTTCTTTTCAGATCAATAGTTGACCTGTGGTGACATGAAGATTTGGGGGACCTAACTTGTGTTCTTACATGCTGTTTTTGTGCTCTCACCTGCAAGCATTTTTCTTTGTGGCTGTTGCAGCTTCATCACTGTTCTTGATTTAGGATACTGATGATAAAATGGGCTTTACAGTTCAACATGAGGCTGTTCACCCACAAACACACCTTGTCATATGCTAAAAAATGCCTCCTTATTACCTGTCAGATGGACTTAACAAAACTTGTGTATAAAATTGAAAAAAAAGAATAAAAAGAATGGAAAACTTGTCCATTGTATTGTTGTTTCAGTAATGAAGTAGAGAAGAAAGGGGTTGGCAGTGTTAAAGAATCTGATTTAGTTTGTAAACACAGTTTAAGTTACAAAACATAACGTTCACACCCCAGTCTAAACAGTCCATATAAGGAAACGAAGCTTCAAAATAACTTGTTTTGAATTCATTGTTTTTGTGATGTTGGGAAAACCAAGACATTTACATATATCCACCTGTTCAGTCTACTGCAGTTTAGCTTATAGTTTCATGCTGAAGTTAGGAGTGTTTCAGCTCTGAGTGCTTTTTGAATGAGGCACAATACAGGGCAGCCAATCCGAATAGAGTGCACTTACATAAGGCACAGTGGCAAAAAGAGCTGGTTTAATTCTAAGAAATGGTTAGAAAATGGACATGTAAAAATTAATTCTGACTAGTTTTGTTACATAAAATCACAAACATTATAAGTGGACTTGTAGAGAAAAAAATAACATACAAAAAAATTATAGGATATGGGCTCTTATGTCCAAAAGTATCCATATACGTCTTCCAATTAGTGAATTTATCTAATTAAAGGTGCATCCAGTGCTGACACAGTCGTTCAACTGCACACACATGGCTTGTAAAATCTCCATAGAGAAAACATAATAATAGAATTGGACACTCTGGAGCAGCTGCACATGAGCCTGAGGTCACCATGCCCAATGCCAAGCATCAGCTAGAGGGGTATAAACCCCCCCAGCATGAGGTTGAGTGATGGAGCTTGATCCAATACCTGTGGGGTGAGTTGGAGTAGCGATTGTGATCTAGAACTTATCATCCAACGTCAGTACTCGATATTACTAATGCTTTTGTGCCTGAATGCAGTCAAACCCTATTGTGTCGTTTGTAATAAAATAATGTGTGACAATAAGGAAGATTAATCAGGTTAATCAGGTTATACTCTATAGTGTGAGCTACTCTTTAATGTCACACATCTGTCTCTTTGAAGTTAATACATCAAAGATTAGTTCCATCAGTATTTACATCATTGTACATCATTGTACATCAAAGTCCTACACTTTTACTGATCATAATTATCCACAAACAGTTCACAGACATTCCACTTTCAGAATCAAGCAGAATCACACATTGGGTTTCCCATACATGCATTTATATATATATATATATATATATATATATATATATATATATATATATATATATATATATATATACACATAAAAATATACATACACAGGAAGAGAGGGTAAGAAAGAATACAGTACGAGTTTGAGAGAGAGGTAAAACAGAAAGAGGAAGGAATAAAAAAACAGGAGAAGAGAGAGAGAGAGAGAGAGAGAGAGAGAGAGAGAGAAAGAGAGAGAGAGAGAGAGAGAGAGAGAGAGAGAGAGAGAGGGATCAGAATAAATAAACTGTGAGAAAGAGAGATAAAAACAGAGAGAGAGGTAGAGAGAGAGCAGAATAAATGAACTGTGTGTGAGAGAGAGAGGGAGGGAGAGGGAGGAATAAAAAAAACAGTGAGAGATGGAGGTGGCAACGTTGGGGGCACACCACCGGAAGCAAACGTCACTGACACAGGAATGGGCTAAAATCATCTCAGCAGCATCAGAAGCAGATATGGCTCATAAATCCTGAGAGGGTCTTTGTCTTGTTTGTTTTTTGGGTTTCCGCCGGTGAAAGTATGATGTGTTCGCTGAGGATCGGTTTCCAGGCTGTACTGAGGTGAGCCCGGCTCGGTTGGTGCTCTCTGCTCGCTGTAGATCAGACAGTGTTTGGTGTTTAGCTGCTGCTGTTAGCTCGTTAGCTTGTGTTCAGGGTCTGAACTCTCTGGGTTTACATGTACAAAACCTCACCTTTACATTCACATTCACTTTAAAACCGCCTGGGCTGGATCATTAACCGTGTCGAGGAGCTCCTGGACACCGCAGGCTGTGTTTAAGACACCTGCTGTGTGTGTAAGTCATACTGATGTTTATATGCTCGTTTGAAAATGAGACTTTCGTCCTCAGTGTTTTTAATCAGGCCTCGTTCACACAAGTGTGAAATACCGTACGACAGGTTGAATGATATGATTATGTTCCCACAGAGTTACATGTTTTAAAAGGTGAATTAATACATAACTGCTTCATTTTGATCGTCATTTTAACGCTACGCATTTGGTTTTAGACGAGGTGTCTTTAAAAACTGATCAATGAACACACCTTGCTTGTTTGAGATCTGGGTGTTGACGCTGTATTGCTTTAAAGCTCAAGTCATGTCCTTAATAAGGAAAATTAAATTACAATTATTATTATTATTATATTATTATTATTATATTATTATCGTTGTTGTTTCTTTTGTAGAAATATGTTGTGTTGGACTTGTTTGGTCAGTAAACTAGTTTATGATCACACTGTCCAGCATATGGCACACAGTACACAGTCTGAGCCTGAGTCACTCTTAGATGATCTAAGGCCTCCTTATTATTAGGAACGCACTGATCTGGGAACTGTGAACCGATGGCCATATTTTTCATGTACATACCTGCTGATTAAGATACATAAATACTTCTAAATCTACCTATAATTGCATTTCAGAGGAATATAGTATTCATTTCTGATGGTTTACATCCATCCATCATCTAAACCGTTTATCCTTCTGGGTCGCGGTGGGGTGCTGGAGCCTATCCCAGCTGTCATTGGGTGGAAGGCAGGATACACCCTGGACAGGTCGCCAGTCCATCGCAGGGCAGACAGACAGACATACACATTCACAATCACACCTAGGGGCAATTTAGCAAATCCAGTTGGCCTGACTGCATGTTTTTGGACTGTGGGAGGAAACCCACGCAGACACGGGGAGAACATGCAAACTTCACACAGAAATGACCCTGGTCACCCGGCCGGGAATCGAACCCAGGCCCTTCTTGCTGTGAGGCGACAGCGCTACCCACTGCGCCACCGTGCCACCCTGATGGTTTACATTTACAGTAAAAATAATAACATTCAGATAGTTCAGTTAAGTAACCCAGCATAACCTAAATGTTCCGCTCTTCTGGAGTAACGTTACAGTAAATACATCATCAAATAGCGGGCAAATGTAAACGTGTATCCATGCTTCATTGTGTATGTGTATCCAGGATCATTGCGTATCACTACTTGTTATACACTATGGACATGGATTTAGCCTAGTTCTTGGTCTCGGACTAGGTGCCAGTGGTGAATCACCATTGAACATTCATTTTAGTCTAGGCTTAGGCTTAATCTTGGTCTTGGAAACTAGCCCTGTATATCAAAAGGTTTATAGACACCTGCTCATTAAACATCTCAGTAGTATTCCCCAAGAATTTTAGAGTATTATTAGGGATTTTATCTCCCTTTGCTGCAGTAACAGCCTCTACACTAGACTACACTACGTTTTACACTAGACGTTGGAACATTGCTGTGAGAATTTAATTGCATTTAGGCACAACAGCATTAGTGAGGTCAGGCACTGATGTTGGATGACTGGTTCTGGATCACTCCAGCTCATCCCAGAGGTTTTGGGTGGAGCTCCATCACTCCAGAGAATGCAGTTTTACTGCTCCACAGCTCAGTGCTTTAAACCCCTCTAGCTGACGCTTGACGTTGGACACAGTGAGTTTAGACTCAAATGAGCCTGCTCCAGAGCATCCTGTTTCATCATCAGTTCTTTTATAAGGAGCTTATAAAAGCAGTGTGTGCAAAGTTGAACAGTTGTGTCATCAAAGGGTGCAGTTTAAACTGTCTTTATCAAAGAGCATTTGCAGTTTCCAAGCACCTCCTCTGTCCTGCTACAAGACTGTTTACTGTTATTTTGTCTATCAGCCAGTTTCACTAACTGTCTGTGGTCAGCATAATGTAATTCTGTTATGTGAGAGTTAAGACTTCCCTTTTGGTTCTACAGACACACTGTTCCTGTAGAAGACTGAAAGTTCCATAGAAAGACAGACGTATGCCACCCTGTTTTTTCCTAAGTCCTTCTGTAAAACCTTGTATGTACATTTAAGGCAATAAAGGATTAATGATTTCAAGACAGCATAAAAAATCATATACATAATAAACATCGATAAAATGAACATTTGATAAAGAGTATTTAAATTTCGTGCTGTATCACCAGTACACCCCTCCATCTCGTCCGAGGGTCTCGCTTGCCGTCTTGATAACCACAAAATGTGAACAAGTTGAAATGGTTGAACTTGGTATTGTTGATGTTTAGTGTCAAAGTTGGTGTATGTTTGGCACATATTTTAATTAAGGATTAATTTGATGCATTTAATGCTGATGATGTTGATGTTGTTGTTGATAATGATGATGATGATCTATTGTTTGTAAATTAGTTTTGCAGAATTATAAACCTGAATCATTCTCTCTAAACCGCCTCAAAACATGTTATACATTCATATAATTGAGGTCCGTTGGAGCTCTATATTGCAAACCAAAAGATTTTTGAGGTCATTTGTCTTTTTTTGACATTATTTAACATAGTACTCTTAATCGCATTGTGTCAGCATGTGTTTCTCATTACTGATATTCATCATTTTTCACTTTTTTAAATCAAAAAAGTAGTTTGTAGTACTTTTTAACTCTTGAATCTCTTTAATTCAGTGTTTTCTTGAAGTGAACCAAAACAACAAAATGTTTTAAGGCAGAAGTAAAATGAAGTACCTTAGTGGCTGTCATTGAGTTGCAGTAATAAGATAAAATACACTGTGTTTTGCTCTGTATATTCACTAGATATATTTAAAGATTTATCTTCAAACCTTGCTGTGTTGCAGCATTGTGAATTTGGTCACTTAAATTGCAACATGTTACTAAAAATCTGTTTAAAATCAAAGGAATCATTCAGGTTTACTTTTAATTATTCAGTTATTTTTAAGGTTTAGCTGTTCCGATTGTTCAAGTTGGGATCCTTTACAGACCCATGTTTGTGAGAATAATCCACACACAATCCCAGCTGTGTCATAATTTATCATTGAATACTTTTGGTCCAACCTCCTCCCTCTCCATTTTGACTGCAGACAAATGTTGGGACACTAATCTAAATGCTCATGTTAGAATCTCCAAATGCTGCTCCTGGAAATCTACAGTCTAACACACCTGACTTAATTTCATTAACACTCTGAAACATGTTGTATTAGACTTGAAAATTGAGTTGGATTATCAAAGATCTGAATCTGTCAAAAAACTTGTCTCTTGGTTACAAAATGTGTATGAGAGTACAGATACCTTTTCAATTCCAAAATTAAGCATAAGAAATGTAGTGAAGTGGTGGAAAGAGACAGGAGTTGTTCAGTGCCTGCCGTGCTCTGACCATCCAAGCCGGAAAATCCAACAAGCCTGGTTGGGCATCTGATCTGCAAACTCATGTACTCCACGGCTAGAAGAAAAGCATGGGCACATGCGTAATACTAAACTAAATAAAATACTAAATACTAACTTACATAAAGGGAAGAGTCACCGTATTTGGTCCCACTAATGCTTCAGTGCTTTTACTTGCCTAACTTAAGGTTTCAGCTAATTAGTGGGATCATTGAGTTTCATTTAGTAAACCTAGTTGTTGCTGGTTGTTATAACTTTACTGGTGTAAACTTAAATTAGTTTGGAAAGTAATAAATACACAATTACATGAATTCCCAAAAGTGTCCCAAGACCACTTTTGAGCACTGTGTCTTTAGACTCAAACAAGGAGGGTCTCTATCCCTGATGTTTTATAACCATAATTAAACATAACTGGCCCAGAAAATCAGGGCTTTCAGGAACATCTGAAGATTCTAGAAAAGTGTCTTGCTCTGTGGTTGGAACTAAACTCTGCAGGGGAGATTTGGGTTTCATTTTGTGCCATTTTTGATAAGGTGACTTTCAAATATTGCTTCTTGTCTTTTGGTTAGAAGGCGAAAATTCAACATACTTCAGGATACATTACATTAAGTCGACCCTTGGTCCAGGATTCAGGTACCGGGACGCATTTGGGCCTGGATTTGTTTCACATATGTTTTGAGGTAGTTCAGACACATTTGTTCAAATATGTTCAAATGTAATTCTTCTTCACCATTTTACGAACAGTGTACATGTGATCAGCGCTATTAGATCTTGCAACATTTCTTTGAACATTTCTGCTGGCGGTTGGTCTTTGGATCTGTGAGTTTGAGCAAGAAGTAGAAGTAAAGCTTTTGAGAACATCACACCCCCTTCTGAAATCACAGCGTGTCCATTTATAACAGGTAATTACTTATTCTCCTCAACATAATCTTCTGTATCAGAGTGAGTGTTAAAATGATACTCTCTCTGGTGTCTTAATTAGGTTACCTTTTATGTTTTAAGCTAATTCCATATTGTTGGAATTTAGCCAGATCTCTTAGGAGCAGCTGATCTCAGCTGAAGGACTGTAGTGTTTTTGATAGTGTTTTGTAGTTTGTGTGAAAGAAGAACATTCAGTTCTCTTATCAGAGGTTACTGTTTCAGTGCTTGTGGTTTTTATGCGCTACTAATGTGATGAGAGTGCTGAGTTTGTGGTTTTTAGGAGGATCTGAAAATGCTGATTCATCTCTGAGCAACAGTCACCTCGGTCACGCCTCCATGACAACAGAAGATCGTAGGTGGATAGCTGGATTTGTGTACGTATGGATTAAGTTTTGCAACAGTATTTGTTGCACCAACAGAAACAGGACAGCTGCTGCATGAAAAGAGAGACTGCGCTCTCACATTTCAGTCAAAATACAGCCA